TCCACATATATTTATGTGTGTGTGTGTGTTGCTATTTGGTGTGAGTATATGAATATAGTACACTTGAACATACTAGAGCTGATCGGAATAGCACTTCTGTGGACTCGTTCACCTCGTGGTAGTGTAGTCTGGAACACACTATTTGGTGTCGTGAGTACTAATCTTTCTCAGTTTGTATCATCACCATCTGCGTGAACGATACAGGCCGTGTTTTGTTATCAAACAGCTTGGTATTTAAGTATCTAATCGATTCCGTCTGCGTTCACAACGAAGTCGACACTGAGTTTTTAGGATGAGGTGTTAGGGTTTAGGGTATGGGGTTTAGGGTTTGTGAAATGTGTAATCAAGTGAATGCTACCGTTCGATTAGTGAGTTATGTATTGGAAGAGCTCTGGGAGTTACTGTGCACTCATCAGTGGGCTGAGATGAAGGTGTGTGAAAACACTAAACCCTGAACTCAGTGTTGTCGTCTACCGTTCGGCATTCTAACTCGAGCCAGACAATCTCATCTAGATTATATGATTGTGACTCGTTGGTATGCAGTAGTAAATGATCGTTAAATAAAACCCTGTAATACTCAGGTCAGGTACTCGCCATACTGGCTATTAAGATAACAATCCCTGCCGACCAAACCATAAACTTTAAACCCTATAACCTTAGAACACTCCCAGCAGCCATACCAAACAGTCCGGGAGATAATCGAACACTCAGTAGAAATTAGTCATACCGACTGTTGTTATAGCTCTTCTTGTCGCAGTAAAGTTTGGTCATACTGACTGTTGTTGTACCCCTCCTTGTCGCAATAGAGATTGGTCTTACTGACTGTTCTTATACACCTTCTTGTCGCAGTAGAGACTGGTCGTACTGACTGTTGTTATAACTCTTCTTGTCGCAGTAGAGATTGGTCATACTGGCTGTTGTTATACCCCTCCTTGTCGCAGTAGAGATTGGTCATACTGACTGTTGTTATACCCCTTCTTGTCGCAGTAGAGAATGGTCATACTGCCTGTTGTTCTAACTCTTCTTGTTGCGGTAGAGATTGGTCGTACTGACTGTTGTTATATCTCTTCCTGTCGCAGTAGAGATTGGTCATACTGGCTGTTGTTATACCCCTCCTTGTCGCAGTAGAGATTGGTCATACTGACTGTTGTTATAGCTCTTCTTGTCGCAGTAGAAATTGGTCATACTGACTGTTGTTCTAACTCTTCTTGTCGCAGTAGAGATTGGTCATACTGACTGTTGTTATAACTCTTCTTATCGCAGTAGAAATTGGTCATACTGACTGTTGTTATAACCCTCCTTGTCGCAGTAGAGATTACTGCTTCCTTGCATCAGCCTGGCGTCTGCGTGTGTTGCGGAGGGCCATCAAACAGTGCGTGTGGATGTTCGGAGTGACATCTTTGATCGCGTGCTGTTGTTTCTTGAAGCAGAGATTCTCGCAGAGGCCAAGCTGGGGCCACCATACGAGGTGAATGGCACATACGTTGATTCTGTAACATGTCTCTGTGGAGTGTTAGCTTTATATGTTTATGCGATGTTATGCATTTTGGGTTGTAGTTACTTATACGCGTATTCTGTGGTATGTTTCTGTGGAGTTTTAGTTGTATATACGTTTATTCTGATTTGTCTCTGTGGAGTGATAGTTACTTATACGTTCATTATGTACTATATCTCTGTGCAGTGATAGCTACTGATACGTTAATTCTTTATTATATCTCTGTGTCGCTTTGATTGCATATACGTATATAATGTATTATATCTCTGTGGAGTTTTTATCGCATATATGTTTATTCTTTATTGTCTCTGTGGAGTGATAGTTACTTATACGTTCATTCTGTACTATATCTGTGTGCCGCTTTGATTGCATATATGTTTATTTTGTATTTTATCTCCGTGAAGCTTTTATCGCATATCCGTTTATTCTTTATTGTCTCTGTGGAGTGATAGTTACTTATACGTTCGTTCTGTATTATATCTCTGTGCCGCTTTGATTGCATATACGTTTATTATGTATTATATCTCTGTGGAGTTTTTATCTTATATACGTTTCTTCTTTATTGTCTCTGTAGTGTGTGTGTGTGTATTTATTTTGGTGTTGTTGTTTTAGGGCTGCTGTCTGACACTTCTATAACGTCCGTTTGCCATGTGCTGCTACATATGACCTCTTTCATATTAGACGAATACATATTGAACTATTTGAAGTACGTGATTGGCCTCGTCCAAATACGTTGACCGTCGGTTGAGATAGTCGTACTATAAGTGGGTGTCACATACATCAAACGCGTTCGAGTAGGTCCTTCCCATCTTACGAGACCTAACACGCGCCTACAAGCTCTCTGGTTCGGAAGAGAGAGTATGAGAATCAAATGAATAACGATTTATGCGTGTGCTTGTATGCGCATAGGCCCTTCTTTCAAACCCAAACACCTGGTTGCTCGTTATAGCTTGTCGTGCAGAGTATGCCGCCCAGATTTCCTTCTGAAATGATCAGCTACGAACCCTCACATGCTGTGCCCAGGGCATGTATACCAAGCAACCCATACCTACCGACCATCTCACCCACACCAAGCAACCCATTACCTACCTACCATCTCACCTACACCAAGCAACCCACACCTACCTACCATCTCACCCACACCAAGCAACCCATACTTACCGACCATCTCACCCACATTAAGCAACCCATACCTACCTACTTTCTCACCTACACCAAGCAATCCATGCCTGCCTGCCATCTCACCCACACCAAGCAACCGATACCTACCTGCCATCTCATCTACAATAACTGTAGTGTATCCTCCCAACTGACCTTATGTCCCCATTGGCAGGTGGATGCGGAGCACACTCAAGACCTGCTGAGCGCTGGGGTGGTCTTGGGCTGTCAGGCATTGATTGATGTGTGTAAGGCCAAACTGGGCGAGTTTGTCAAGCGCGTGAGGAAAAACGGGATTGCGTTTAACGAGGTCGTGGAACGCAATAGGAGGGTATGCGCAGATGGGCGTCGTCTCGATGATAAGATGGTTGTCAACTAGGGTTTAGGGTTAATCGATTTTCTAGTGACAAGCAATGCCGAAGCAATTATACCTCAGCTTAGTGTAATTAGATGGTATCTCTGGCATACAGGGGTTTTAGAGTTTTATAGTTTTATAGTTTTAGGTTTTGAGTTTTAGAGTTTTATAGTTTTAAAGTTTTAGGTTTTGAGTTTTAGAGTTTTATAGTTTTAAAGTTTTAGGTTTTGATTTTTAGAGTTTTGGGATTTTATAGTGCTCGATCACATGGTTACACAGTAGGGAGGTGCCTCCCCTGGGAGTATACTGGTATCGCTTTACACCTACCCGCCTCCTTTTCTATCCCACACTCTCGCAACAATAGTTTGATCAGAGTTCGTTTCATACACCTTGGTCTCCTATTCACCCTTCCGTCTCTCTGACTATACACCTACTTCTCTTCGCTCCCTATATACCTACACCCAGGGCGAGACTATCCTGGTCATAGACGGGATGGTCTTCGATGTTTCCCGTTGGCTACCCAACCATCCCGGAGGCTCGACCATCATACCCGAACAAGGACTCAACCTAGACGCCATTGGCTTCTTCGAGGTATACCACTCCTCCCGTGCATCCTTCCGTTACCTCAAACAGTTCTATATCGGGGATGTGACAGACAAAGAGGCTGTCCCCAAGCCACACCACGAAGCGTCTGAGGCGTTTGTGGACCAACTCAGAACATACACGACGTGGAGGGTCACGCCTGTCAACCCGGTTTACAAAAGCTTCTGACCGCTACCCTTCCGCATGGGTTGTGTATGTGTATAGAGAGAAGGCAAAGGTCTAAACCTCAATTAGTTTTGTGGTTTCAGCCTGTAGCCGTACTGCGCGTAGTGTATTGCAGAGGGACGGTTATGTCAGAAGGGGTGTAAAACCCTAAACCCTAAAACATAAGGCGCTCAAACCAAGCACTCTAGCACATACAAATATATGCTCAAGAACACCCTTGGACAATCCTCACACATGGGGCACAAACAAACCTATTCAACCCACTCGCCCCACAAACTATGCGAGACTGCCAGGGAGACTAAACTATGTGAGACTGTCAGGAAGACTGTGACTTGTCTGCGCTTTACGTTTGTTGCAACGCATTGATACGCCATCCGTGAGCTATGTGGTCTGAATTAATCGAATGTCGCTGACATCATCAAAAGAATCTCTGACGGAGATCGTTTGGTATCGTACTTATGCCAGGTACACTGAACACAATGACCATTAGCCTAGAGCCATCGGGCGTTTAGATAGTCTCTCTAGTTAGTGGTGTATGATGTCAGGATCATCAGACATATATCTAGGAGCCATTCGTAGATATTCTGGAGAAGATTTAAACGTTTAATTAGAATGATATTCTATTGAAATAATGCATATGCATGACATGATTCTACAAATTCACAAACTGCCTCGATATAAATAAAAGCGGACAGCGTCGAAACAATCGTTTTAGTCGTGGCTCATGAGTGATACATTCGTGTATATCACCGTGAATATATACACCACAATATTAAACCGGCAATGATATCTTACATAGAGATAATATATCTACTTCCACACTTTTATGCACATTTACCTAGTATTACTATTGTCATTATGTACATGTACAAATATGTATATAAATATAAAACTTATATATATATAAATATAAAACTAGAAACGTATTGCCAACCACATTTGCTCCTTGTACACGCTATTGTGCCTTAGACCATGCGTTTAACGACGCCCTGGCTTAAATAGTTGATACTGATATCATGTCATATCCATTTAATG